AGGAACGTTTTTCGAAAAATCACACCCCGCCGCTCGCCCAGGGCATTCAGCTGGTCCTCTTCCGTTGGGCTGGGATGCCTAGTTCCACTGGCAGCTCTGCTGATATGTCTATGGACTGATCCACAAAGATCATCGATGATGGAAATAGCCTCTGGTTATGTCAAAATAGCTATTGAAAATGGCCCATAGAAATAGTGGATTTACCCATTAATAGCAGGGTGATTTTCCATATAGTTATGTAAACGTTTACCAGAGGGTATATGAAAATATCCATTCACCATGCAGCGCCATGCAGAAGTTTGGGTTTTGTTGACGTCAAGATGTTGTGATTTTCTTATTTCACTGTGAAAACAGCAGGCATCAGATCCCTTGTTTCTTGAGGAAGGACCCCTGGGACCGGAACACCAAGCAGCCTCTTGGCAACTGTGGTCGCTGTGGTTGTCGGCGGTATACTTCAACACCCTCTGGTCATCATTTAATTCTGAAAAAAGCACCATTCAGTAGGAATTGTCCAGATTACCTGAGGGGTAAGTGGGTTTGCAACCTACAAACTTGAAGGGGGATGATTCTTGCACCTGACATCCTGTCTGACTGCGAGCGTAACCGAAGTCTTGCGATGTGGCACCACCTGCCACCTGATTGTTACTAGGTCCACATGATCATTTGTTTATTGGGAACCCAGAAAAACCCACCCCTTCCCATTCCTTTGAATTTGAAGTCCCAGCTGGCGCACTGAGATCTTGGAAGATTCGAGAATGAAGCACCGAGTCATCCTATTGGAACGTTCCCTTGAGGTCTGCTACCCGTGAGGTATCCCTATCCCCATGGCTTGCGGTGTGATTTAAGTGGAAGAGCTTGAAGTCATCCTGGGCGTGGATGGGGAAGAACGTGGGACCCCGAAGTGGAATAGCAGATGATGGCAGGGCAAAGCTTCCGGGAGCTTTCAACGTGTGATGACACGACAAATCAAGTGCGTGTGCCCGGTGGCTATGCTGTGGCTGGTGTGCATGTTGATGCGCCATGGAACCCTGAAACCTGCTAGCCTAGAGGTTTTGTGAAATCTGTGCATGTCACCATGCCCTCCAAACATCCGTCAGCAGATCTGGACATGGCAACATCAGCGGTGCTTGTGGTTATTTTGGGTTTTACTGACTGATTTAGTCTTGGAATACTATAATCCAATGGCAGGACCCCGTTGACAAGTAGAAGGGGAAGACCAAGAAGACTCCTTAAACAATGCCCGCGTTGACCCACCTTGACTGGTGCTGTATTCCCAGGTTCGTCCATCGCGCCATCAAGTTTGCTCGGGAAAGAGGGTCCGGTGGCCGGAGCTAAGTTCCAGTAGATGAAAGTTCGCCTTTGCGGGGTGATAATAATCATGGCTATTACCTCTCAAAGTGTGACACTCTTCACATCATTTGCAGATTATGGCGGTGCTTTTACACTTGATGTTCCTTTCGCCTTAACCCTGATTGGCAGGTTTGACTTCTTACTGCATCTTGATGACGACGAACTCTTGTATCCAGAGGCCAAACGTAAGATGGGAAGGTGCTTCTTAGTCACCGCTTCGCACCAGGTGTAGCATGGTTTTTCGCCGCAGAGGCACATGTTTCCCGGACAGAAACCTAGGCGATGAGCATCCCGGAGCTCCTTGAGAAACATGTGAAAAGCTCCAAGAGGTGGAATCCATCACCACAAATCATGGGATATCATGGGGAGCATTGCGGGATCCTAAGATTGGTTCACTGATTCCTGCCCTTTCTATTGTGGATGAAATTGATAAATTGATGTTTTATTATATAATTTTATTATGGTTTATTCATTTTATTTCTATCATTCTTTCTCTGCTTTAAGATTGTCCCACCTGAGTTGGAGATGTTTGGGTCAACTGAGTGACTGCTTTTTCTTCGGATTTCTTCCAGTTTTATGGAGCTTTCGGACATCCCCTTAGCGACTTGTTGGGGTAAGGCAGTCGTGATCAGAAATTGGATCGCTGTGAGGGTTGGATCGTCCCATCGATTGGGGAATACTCTGCAGGGCTGTGAAATTCCCCCAACTTTTCTGAAACAAACCGAGCCATTCCGGGCGCGTTGGAGAGGCCACTAGGGTAACAAGTCACTTGATGGGATGACCCCATAGACTTGCTGACTTGCTGTCCCCATGGCCGAAACGGCCACCAAAAAATCAGTTTCCTCCTTTCACTTCCATGTCTTTGAGGTCTAAGCGACTATTTAATACAACATGTTACAACCAGGAACTGACTGTTTGCGTTTGTGACAGGTGTGTGCACTTCGAAAATCTGGAGGTGCAGAGCCACTGATCCAGGTTGATCTAGACCCCTCAATGGGGTACCGTGACCTGTGACATTCCAGTTGGATCAGGCAATCTTCCAATTCCAGCTGCATCATGGGCGGCCCTTTTCGAGGGCTTCGACACGTTTCAGGCCCTTGGTTTCTTCGTTTCAAGGCAGAAACCAAGATCAGTTGGCCGCTGACGCTACTGATACCATTGGGTCATTCTTTTCCGCGACGCGGCACCTGCAACTGACCAGCTCATCACAAATGTCAAAAGGTGCAGCACATAGGATGAAGGTCTTGGTTTCCTAGAAACGATCATTCGGTTTCTGCACTGCAGGAAGGGACAAAAATATCAACTAAATTCTCAGACCATCGTTATCGACCAAGCCTAGTGGCTCTAGTTGATAGTTGGACATGCAAAAGGACGTTGGTTTATCTCTGCCTTTCAGATGTACATTGCGGCAACTCTTGGTTACGAAGGGGGATCAATAATGAAGCACTAGCAGCATTGCTTCCAAGCTGCGAAGAAGCAGAAGCCCACAACATATTGTAGAGCTGATTGCACCACAGCCTGTCTGTAAAAATGATCGCCATTTGATTGGTCCGGCCTCTGCCATGCCGCCAAAGAAGAAAACTGATGCGGCAGTCATCCTGGGCATGTTGCTGTGAAGGTCATTGGTCATGTGGTATAGCACCAAAATGCCACTCGACCCACAAGATTCATCAGAGTCATTCGTATTAAGCCAACTATGTGGAACTCACCCGCTTGGTACGAGGGAAAATCAAGACGAAAACTCTGTTTTTTTACCATGGTTTACCATGGTTTACCATTGTTTACCATGTTTTACCATTCAAAGCTAAGGACTTTCAGCACTTTTTTGCCAGGGAAAGGCTAAAGGCAAGGCCAAGGCCAAAGAAGCCAAAGCCAAGGCGAAATCTGTGCCTTTGGCTCCGAATCTGGGAATTGTTGCAGCAGAACTTGGGATTTCCATCAACAGCAATTCACAAAAACGTCAAAAAAAGGATTGAGAATGATTTGATAGGTGAAGCAAGGTTTGCCTTATCTCATTCCTACCTTGGTTGATTCAAGGTTGATGTTGTCAGTTACTTTCCATGCCTAGGCATGGGAAACCACAGATGGTTTGGACTGAAACCGACCATCCCAGGGTCCCGGCCCGGTCGTGGGTCCCAAAAACCTGGCACGATACCCACGGCATCCCATGGCGCTTGTTTGGGACGATTCAAGGATCCGGATACGATTCGTATTTAACCATAAGATACCCCCTTTTGCAAACCTGAACTATGCGCTGGATATTCCCATAAAGAATTCGCCCATTGGTCATATATGTCATATATGTCATATATGTCATCTACCCACTAATTATCAACATCCATGATGTACATCATGCATCCATCAATGGACTCTTCCCCTGAGATACCCATTGATTGATTCTACACCCACATCCAGACACATCCATTGGTTCATTGACTCATGAATTGATTGATTGATTGATTGATTGATTGATGGCCTGATCTAGTATGCACTATACATATATATATATATGTGAATATATATATATAATATTATATAATATTCAATCGCATCAGACCACCTGATTGTTGATATAATATAATGTTACTGTCAATAACTGCCCATGTAAATAACTGATGATGTTTTTGTGAATACCAATGACTCATTACACAAGTAATAATCACAATGATGATTTAACTGAGTGTTATTCATACGAGATAAACAGATATATGACATATGACTATGATTACAGTGGTATCACAATCAACAACATCATCATCATGCCTCATCAACATCATCAACATCATCATCATCATCAACAACAACAACAACATGCGTCATCATATTTTCTTGTGTATGATCTTCTCGTCTCCTTTCTTTCGGGCCACACTGTCTACTGTTTTTCCATCTCCAAGGCTGGAGCGGCCCCCAAGGCCAAGGCCGCCGAGACTCTGAGTTTTTCCTCGGCCACATCGCTGAAGGCCGCCCACTGTTGTTTTAAGGGCAAAATGTATGGGAAATCAACTTGGGGATGTGTCAAGACCTATGAAATGATCCAATATTTACAGGAATAAAACATCCACAAACCAACTATTTCAGGGTACCTAGGGTGCCAGGGTTTTGACTCATAGCCCCATGAGAAATTGATTTGGGTGGAAAATGCTGATGAAAATTGGATTTGTTTGGAAAAGAAAGCAAGTGCCAGGGGTGTTAAGAAGGGAAAATGATCAAGAATAAATGAGACATGATGCATTCCCATATCAAAAGCTATTGCAGGTGAAATGACACGGTGAATTCCAAATACTTCAAGATTGATGCAACGTGAAAGCGGCTGAGAGTCTTGCTGGAAAGAAACGATGGGACTTTTGGATCACGGGGGCCATGGTTTTCAACTGCCTCAGGATGTTTGAGCAATTTTCTGCTGCATTTTGGTGTAGCAATGAAGCCGTGACTGAACACGCTGGGCGCTGGCACGGCACAGCTTTGAACCCGTGCAATACGGGAACGAGCCTTGTACATAAGTGCCAGCGCCGTGTCCTGACTTTGGTCCTTCCATGACATGTGTGCAGTGTGCATGGCAACTGCTTCGTCAACTGCAATTGTTTTTCTAAAGCCAGATTACCATTGACAAAGGCCCCAAGCGATTGGGTGAAATTCATCAATTTCTCGCCATGGAGACTCATGGCGCGCAAATGGAGCTTCCCGCCTTTCTGCCTCTCACGGCACTTTCGGTGGGTCGATGCTTGGCATGCGAGCGAGGTTGGATTCACACCAAGCTCTTTCGGTTCCAAGTGTATGTGAACAAAAATCGGTGCCATTTTCTAGCAACCTAGGCAAAATGGTTGGAACTTGGAACCTTGAGGTTGAGATCATCAATTCATAAAATCCTGAGAAAGGTTTTTGCTGCTATCCTGTTGCGGATGTCTATACAACTTGTCTACAGGCACGCCCTCACATGGATCTGGCAAGGACATGCTTCGACCAACCATTCCATGATCTTCCTATGGGTTAGCGGCATCAAGGGCATTGGCACCCAATCCGGCGAGAAGAAGCTCGTTGTTGTGGTCGTTCAGGAGTCAGGGAGGTCAGGGAGGTCAGGGAGTGACATGGCGACCAAAACCCAACCGTAGCTGTGGGTAGCCATGGATGTTCATCTCCCAGAGGGTGCCCCATACTGAATTACCGATTTCGCAGTTGACATGGCCATGGCCATTGGGGACGGTGCTGGGGGAATACCCAGGAGGTGTAAACCGGCCATTAAATGTCATCACTGCAAGCTTTCTTGAATCTTCCTTGAACACTGCAGAGGTTCACCCTTCCACCGTGCTCCAGGACGAGAGAAAGAAGCAGCCGGCCACGATGCTTCGTTCAAGCTGGGCCTTCAAACACAGCCCCTTCTTCGCGCCCGACCACGAAACCAGCACTCGGCCGCTGCGTCGCTCGGCTGTTTACCCCCAAAGATTGGATGCCGAAAACTAACCACGACCACCCCTTTGTGGGCTACCATCACAATAGATGTCTTCAATTGTCTTCGTATAATTCGAAATCTGTAGAAGTACGTTGCCATTTCCAATTCGTGCAGAGTATTTGCTTGATGATTCTTTGCAAGTGTCTCAGGGGGGTGGTTTTCGATATGGTCCAATCGAAGTTATAATATTAATTCCATGCTTAAGTTGCCGGGATCTTGTTGACAAACGTGTCAGAGCGTGGCTGGTCGTACCTTGTCTTATGCTATGTTAGTGCATAGGCTGTAGATCACAGGACTATCTCCAGGTGATGTTATACTGAGGTGGCGTGTGCTCCTTTGAGATTAAGCTGGATGAAATTGCAGGGTTGGACTATTGGAATCCACTGTTGGTTGATGCCAGCCGTGTGGTCATTGAGGCTGGGGATGGCTGGAGATTGGGATGAAAATTCAGGGCTTCTTTTGCCAACAGAAAAATATAAGAGATTGAAGGGTTCCACTTGTGGCAATGGCCAAAAATCTGCAAGAGCTTCTTCGACACCGGGAAGACTATCCAATGATGATCCAAAGACCATGATTTGTTCCCGTAGGCACGTCTCAAAGTTGGGCCCCCTACTATGGTCTATGTCAGGGAAAGTAATCCCCTTTGCACTCCGGATATCCAGGTACCAGATATGCCCACCCTGGGATCAAGATACAGCTGAGTTTTAACCATACTAACCATGTACTACCTATTTCCCCTATTTGTTTGGGTTGCAATCATGCACAGAAAATTAGAAACTGGAACGATCCTCCCCTTCCAGTTCTAGTATATGAACATAGATATAAATGCAAATCATCTATATTATACATATACATATATATATACATATATACATACATATATATATATATTATGTATACATATATATATATATTATACATATACATATACATACATCTATGTATGTGTTCATATGTGTTCTATGATTATCACTATATCCAAATCCAAACATCGCATCTGGGGATGACCGCCAGGCCCGCAGCCTGACCCGGCGCTGGTTCCGCGACCTCGGCGAGTGCCGTGCGCACTTCGGCTGGCCGAAGGAAGCGACGCCGATGTACCAACCGCAGGAAGCCAAGGAGGGCTGCACCATGGGCAAGGCGCGGGAAACTCCAAAATCCCATGGAAAATATGGAAATTGAAGATTGAAAGATGATGGTTTGCTGAATGGAGGAAAATGATATCATTGAAGTAATATATAGACATTTATATAATAATGTCTACGGAGGATTGGACCTTCTGCGAGATAGCGGACTGGCTTGTGTTTCAGAAAAGATGATTCTTGCCCCCTGCAGAGCCACGGTGTCAAACTGTTGAACCGTCCACTTACTGGCCAGAAAACACCGCATTGGAAGGTTGCGTAGTTATGTCAGGTGTAGCAAAGAAAAACACTTTGGCCACGAAAACAAGCTATAAAAAAGGCCAATTCTTGAAATGTGGTAAATGGATGTAAATGGTAAATGATGGCCATAGTGATGGTAAATGTACATCCTATTTGTTGGTTCCATGATTCGTTCTGGAATCCCAGGTGGAGCTGCAGACGGAGAACTGCAAGCTGCACACCTCACCATCCAAGGCACCGGTATGTCGAAACATCGATACCTAGAAACTAATTTGGTTCATTCGAAACTGGTGGTATATACTAGATAGACTAGGTCCTAGGTCTATCTAGGTCTCCGATGTTTCTTATAAGTTGGGCACCTAGTTTTCAAAGGTGGTAGATCCACTACCGTGGATGGTCCCAAACTGGGGGTATTTGATGGCATTTGGGTCAAATCCCATTGCTGCGGCCAATAGCTTCTCATCAACAGTAACAATTTTGCTACCCTACGCCGGGCTATTGCGGTGAACTGACCGGTTTTGAGACGTGTCTTGACAATTATTGGCCTGTTCTTGGCGGATGAGTGAAAAATACCCTAAGTATTACATAGTATCATATTGTTATGGCAATTGTGGCTATGTATGCCAATATATGTTAGTACTGCTAATAGATTAAGCAATATTATATATATATTATTATTATTATTAATTATTATTATTACTATTATTATTATTGTTATATTATTATTATTTATTATTATATTATTATTATTATTAATTATTATTATATATATACATATATTGTACTATTTCCAACTGTGTCTATGGTAATATATGGCAATACTACTAGATTTCAGCCATACGTCCCACAATTATCAAGAAGTTGCTACTACTAGATTTAGTTATTGATTTGTCAGTAATAGTTCCATATATTTCCCACAATAGATTGTATCAATAGATTTACCATATATGAATCTATATGCATATTTTTACCTTACATACATTACATACATTACATACAGTACATTTTCCATACATTGCTCATCGAAAACTTCCACTATCCTACGGAAATTTTGGGCAGGTGCGGCAGACCTATTGGCAGCCGCGGCCCGAGGAGGCCAGCTATGCGCGGCTGAACGCCATCGCCGAGACCGCGGAACGGCTGCTGAACGGCCGATGTCTGGACCGCGAAGGGGTCAACGGGGACGGGGATGGAGATGGGGTGGGTTAACTCAAAGAACTATGGTGAAACCATGAAACTAAACTATGGGTTTATGGTTTCAGGATTTGAGGAGATTGGCCGAGTTTGGAACTTGGGAAATTTGTTGATCTGCAATTGGAGGTGGGATTCAACTGATTACCGCCATTGTTTTAGATTGCATCAGTTGGTGTTTAAATGCGCATTGTCAGTTTTATCCATTGGTCAGCAAGATCACCTTCGTTTTATATGGATGATATATGGATGATATATGGATTATATATAAATCCCCCTGGTTTGGTTTTTTTGTCATATTTTTGATGTTCCACCAGGGATGATGATCTTCTTTGACGTTCATGTGTTTGGAATGTGTCGCGAAACGACCAACTAGAGACAGTTGGAAGTTGGAATATCGACCAACGAAAAAAAAATGTAACTGGCTGGTGGTTTGGAACCATGGAATTTTATAACTTTCCATTCAGTTGGGAATTTCATCAACTGACGAACTCATATTTTTCAGAGGGGTAGGTATACCACCAACCAGGTAATAATCTAAGCGCCAAGCCTATCCAAGACTGGGATATCCGTAGGTTCCGCTTGGTCGGTTTCAAAATCCTCGGTGACCAAAAAAATATGGTCAGCCTGTCAGGTAAAAATCCATGTCCAAGTTTTCGTCGTGCAAGACGTGTTCAAAGTTCATTTCCCAAAGATTGCTTCACCGAATTTTGGTTAACCAAATGTTTATGGAATTACATTGGATTATATATGGATTATACATACATACATACATACAGACAGACAGACAGACATACAGACAGACATACATACATACAACATACATACATACATACATACATACATACATACATACATACATACAGACAGACAGACATACATACATACATACACACACATACATACATACATACAGACAGACATACATACATACATACAGACACACACATACATACATACATACATACATACATACAGACAGACAGACAGACAGACATACATGCATACAGACAGACAGACATACATACATACAGACATACATACATACAGACAGACATACATACATACATACATATATATATATATATGTGGAAGATATATGAAGATATATAGGGATTATATATGGATGATATACGGATTGCATGGATGATATGTCTTGAAATGTGCTCAAAACGATGTCGATCACCTCGGCGTCCACCAGGACGATGACTTCGCCGATGCCGCGGATGCCGCGGAGGCCGACGCCGAAAGCTCCAAGATCCGAAACGGCAACGAGCTGCTGGAGGTCTGGGAAGATTGGATCCCAATAGCTGGATGATGCTGGAGGATCCATTATAAATGGAGGTTGATTATATATATTTATAATGGATTATATACATATAAATGGGGGTTGAGTCATGGGATCCATCTATAAATGGATGATGCTGGATGGTTGAATTTCCGGAAAATATATGGAAAATCCCATCTAAAATTGCAAAAATTGATGAAAATGGAGTTTCCCCATAGTCATGGGGATCTCCCAATAGTTTTTTATGGTTTGTGGAAAATCCCATCTATAAATGGATGATGAACAGGGGTACCCTTATGACTTAGGAAACCCCCAAATGGAGATTGGAACTGCCACAGGAAGGGAATCATAGAATGTACATTATTGTACTGGGTGGTGGTTCCAAAGATTGCCAGTTTAAGAGCTTTGTGTAAGATGTTGTATTGTGGCAATCATCAGGGTTGTTCCAACTTCAATATAGGAAATGGTCGCAGCAAGAAATTGGTGACTTTACCTCTCCGGCTGGAAGAGCTGATACTCATGATCGGCATTGACCATCAAGAATAGATTGGGGGTTGGATGATAGTTTGCCAATGGGAATGGTTTTGAGGGCTCCATGTTGAATCGCAAGTGTGAGTACTACTTCGAACCCCCTTCTTTGCACTTGATCCTCTTCCCAAAATATGGAGATGTTCAAATGCCAGATTTGTTGACCAGAGGGCAGACCTCATTTTGCATGCACCTTGCTACAAGCATGTTTCTATGCAGCTGTTCATTTGCCACAAAATCTTCATCCGTTCAACGGCGCGTTCAACGGCGTTTCAGAGGTCTACGACAACGGCAGTGATGGTGGCACAGGAAGCAGCGCTGGAGTTTCGAGGGAAACTCAAGACCCACACAGTGAAGTAGTGGAGGAACTGTCAAATCGTACAGCAGCTTGGTGATACAGCAGATTGCAGGCTCCACTTTTGTATGTGATGACCTGGTTGTTGGTTTGAGGGTTTACCCTTGTGTTTTGGGCCTTGGTTTTTCATGCCACTGGTATGATTTCATAGCATGATGTGTTTGCTCCGTCCAAGCTGACCACATGGTGGTTCTGATCCGTCACAGACGGAGGAAGACCCCCAAACGATTCCTTTTCTCACCTCTATGACAACGTTTTTGTGGCCGCTTCTACCTCAAGTGTTGCAGTTGTTGAATTGGTCCCAACCTTTCCACATTTCTGGATGGGCTTCATCAGTCTTCATCCCATGTGACCCATGTGACTCGTTTCACCCCTCGCGTTCCCAGGTGAACTTCCGCTTTGACGATCCCTTCTTGCCTTACGTCCTGCGGGAGGTACGACAGTTACGACAGCCTCGGGGCTGGATCAACAGCAAAAAAAGAGGCGACTAACATGACTAATTCCATTTAATTCCTATTGAAACTGACATTTGAATCATTTGAATTGACATCTTTACCAGTTTCTACTTGTTTTTGTTGCTCAGTTCATGCAAATGAATAGAAAATAGTAAAACTATGTAAAACTCCAGCGAGATCAATTGAACTGTTCGATCTTCCTTAATCATCATAAAGTTTTTTCGGAATCATCGCATTTCATCACCACTGGTGCCAGGTGATCCATGATCCAGATCACCATCGCTTGTTACGGCTCTGTGAGGCTGGTATCCCAGCCTGGGCCATTGTGCCTGGCCATTGAAATGGGAAATTCATCGAACTGGAGATTTTCCATCGATTACCAGAGGGTGAAATGATGAATCTGTGGATGGGCCACAAACAAGCAAAATCTTAGGAGTTTAAGCACGATGGTGGTAGAACCACAGGGAGTTTAGCCCAGAATGATCGCAGAATCCAGCAAAAATGGTGACCAATGGTTGATGACCAGTCAACGACCATGGTATAAATTCAGGAAACGGGAGGCTTAAGCTCACCTGGTCTATTCATCAAGTAGTAACTGTGATCCAGGTTGATGTTGCGGGAGATGTGGCCAGGATGAGATTTCTGTGTACCATGGGAGTTTCAATTTCTGGGATGTAACCAGCAATCGTCAGAATTATTTGGCGTCAACATCACGGAGTCCAGAAAGGGAGAGATGATCACTAGGCTAGAAATAGAGATGTTCACCAACTGGTTGGTGGTTTGGAACATGTTTTATTTTCCCCAATAGTTGGGATGATGATCCAATCTGACGAACTCATATTCTTCAGGGGGGTAGGTATACCACCAACCAGGAGATGTTCACCAACATATCTTGGGGAATTTTTGGATCCAATGATGGATCCATATGGATGGTCAAAATGAAAGGCCCACAGATTAACTCGTCAGTACCCTTGGAGTTGATGGTGAACTCAAAAAAAAAGCTGAAACGGGTTGGTGGTTTGGAACATGAATTTTATTTTCCATTTCATATATGGGATAATCCCAACCCCATTGACTAATATTTTTCAAGATGGTAGGTCAACCACCAACCAGTGAATCGTGAAATGTCCACATTGAAATCACATGAAATCACCATTTATCATGAGTAAATGATCAGGATCATATCACCATATTTGACCCATATTTGGTGGTGAAATCCAACCAGGTACCCAGTCACCAAGAATTTGCCACACTAGGTTTTACCCAAATTCACGGGTCTCTATCACCGCTACATGCGACACTTGGTGGCCGCAATCGTGGTGCTGGTGTCCTGTCTCTCGCTTCTGCTGGGTTTCTACGACTTGCAACTCGGCAATGACGGAATCCATGGCTGGTGTTTAAAGTGGAAGATTCATCAACGGTTGAACTGCCACAACGAGGCTCTCATATTTTTTTGGGTGTTCCGTTTCTCAGGACCTAGGATGATCTATTTGGTTCCAGCATGGTAATTGCATCAGTATTTGTTGCAAGACCATCTACTCTTCCATTGAAAACTTGGCACAATCATCCCAGATGGCTCCTATGCCTCGAATTCTGTGATTTTCCTCAGGTATAGGTCGCAAATTGTCTTCTACAGCTGGGTACACAAATAGGTTGATATGATCAGCTGATGTGCCTTATTTGGTTCCTTCGTTCCTTCAGATCCCAAAATTGGGATCTCCGATGTTTGCTGGTTAAATCCCCCCGCAAGGGGATATCCCCAGCCGAGGTACAAGCGCATTCCATTGGTGCGCTCCTTGTTGAAGCAATCGCTGGGACCCCTAAGCAGCAAACTCGAAGAGCTGGTGGTGGCAACTTGCCTGAAGTCATACCAACACATTTCCAGAGGGACAAGAAAAATCAATATGGGATGATTACTATGGGATAGCTAATGATTATGAAAATTAGAGGTTTACTATGGGATGATTGTTATGGTAATAGCGTCATTCCTAGGATGGTTACTATGGGATTGCTAATGGTAAATGAATGGTTTTTGTTAATGGTTCATAGCGGTTCATCAATGACATTGATGGTTACTAATGTGGTCAACCCAACAATAAACTATCGCCAATAGAGGTGTTTGAAATTGGGTGTAGCCTTATGGCTCCTGCAATTGACTTGACTTGACTCGCAAAAACTCCATGGCAAATGATGTGAATCTTGAGAAAATCCAACTTTTGAAAAGACACCATGGAAACTTGCATTGTTGGACAATCCTACCTACTTTCAATTGTGATTTTCCCATGCAACAGAAATGTCTCTGTCTCAGGTGCGTTTGTCCTTCCTCTTGGGTTGGATCCTGCCGTACAACACAATTCTACGGCGGACCTGGCACTGCCTGCTGATGTTGTGGGAAGCGGTGAAGAGTATTGGTGCCCGGGCTGCCAACCATAGAGAAACGATCTCCAGGATATCCGGGATATGTGGGTTTCTTGGAAGGGGTGACCTTAAAAATGATGAAAAATGCGGAATTTGACCAACAAGAATTGTTGTTTAGGCATGTTGAACCAACAAATTCTGGATATGGATCTGTTTAACAAGTGGGGATATCTCAGCTTATGGCAATTTAAATGGAGAAACGGTTGATTAACCATCAAAATTTGGGGCGCGATTGTCAGACAAACCTTTCGAGATTTGCTGGCTGTTGGTTTACATTGTGCATTCCTCTTCATTGGATACCCCACCATCGATACCCAGAAAGAACTGATATAAATGCTTTACATACTGCCATTGCGGACACAGATTCATGATGATCCCATGGTATCTCTAGCACCCCTCTAAAAAACAAGCATAAAACCCCATGAAGGATCCATGTTTCCAAATGGAGATTCCCATGGTTGTTACCCCAAGGTCCCATTGTTGGATATCCCCAGTGTTTGCCACTATACAAAAAGTATATCAAGCAACGATAATTTCTATACATGTACAAAACAGTGCACAAAGATGTATGTTTAGATACACCTAGACATCTAAATAATATTAAATATATGATAATATATGGTGGAAAGTCCACCCCCAAATCAGTGGAGTTTCCAGGAAAACCATTCAGCTCTTGGCCCCGCAGGTCTAGGCCTCTTCTCAGCTGCCACCATGGCCACATCCCTCGCCTCATCGCTGTTGCAGCCGGCCACATCCTTCGTGTTCTCCCCGGTGATTGGCGCAGCAACCGCCGGCAGGTCGTTTCAACCAGAAATCTGGTTGATTCTCTATATATATATATATATACACAATTTGGTTATTGAACATAGCCATGGAAAATCACCATTTTTAGTAGGTAAACCCAGGTAAACCATCTATAACTGGGCCATCTATACCATTGCTATGTTGTTAAATAACCAGAGGGTATATATATATATGTAAATATATGATTTTCATATTTTGCAGATGTTTTGAAACGCCGACCATTTGGTCACTGTATAAATGGGGTTTTTCCAGCGTTTATGAAAATCTCCAATGGGGATATGACTGAGGATGTGGGCTGGGACCTGACCTGGGATGCTCCAGGTCGCTCTTCCAAGCTATGGCAACCATCGGCCAGGCCTTTGCGAGGCTTTTCTCTGGGGCTGGTACCTTGGAGCATTCCCGGTAAACAAGCCGTGTCTCAGTGCCAGTCACAGATCACGAAAAACGGTCTGAAATCGATGCAAACAAGCCATGTTCATCCATGTTCGCCATCGCCCAAACCGAGATTTTCCATGGGGTACTGGCAGAACCCCAGTCTGTCGAGGTACTGGTGGTCTCTCCAGTGGTGGCCTCCTACGTGCTGAATTCAACTTGGTTCGCCAGGAGCGGTGGACTGAAACACAGTTTTGGCGAATCCAGCCATTTCTGGTGAAAAACTGGGGATGGTGAAATTGGCGTTACCACATTAAACATTAAATATGATGTAGTTCCCTAGTTGGGGTTTATACTTCAATGATCCTTTATATGATCTAATGTGTGTATCAGAAACGGTGTTTAACCCTTGTTGGGAATTGTTGGGGGAGATGGTGTTCCCAGTAGTTGGGTGATGTTCAAATGCGACATTTCACCGATGAAATCGGATTGATGCCTCGAACCACGGATTGCAACACATAAATTGAGGGTTCCAATGATTCTTATTTGCAGCTTTTCTCGATACATTGACTTTGCAGGTCTCGACACATTTGGAGACCTGTGTCACCAGCCCCAATTTTCAGAGTTTGTCTCAAGATGCCCCGCGTTTGTCCAACATCTTGGTTTTCCCCCACGTGTCAGGCCTTCATGGCTGTCTACAATTCCACCTGCTTTCTGGGAGCCACCATGGCCAGACACCAGGCAGCGTATCCCCAGGGCCTCTGACCAAAATGGATTTGGACGCAACAAAACTGAGAGATCTAGCATGACCCAAAGAGACTAAGCATCATAAAGTTGGGTAAACCTTGGAGTAGTTTGGTACTTTAATGATCTTTAATGTGTTGCCATTTATGGGCATATATGGTGGATAATCATTATCTACCGGGTTGATCCTTTCAAACATGTTCTACCTTTCCAGCCCGACCAACTTGGATGGTCATGATCCCACAGCTTAAGAAGCGTGCATTTACATTGCTGCGCTGCTACACTGGCTCGTGAGGGCGCCATTTTCGGCAATGATGTGTACAACCATGTCCTGGCAAACCTTGGAATATGAAGGTGGCCGCGGTCACAGACGGCCAAGAAGTTGACACGATGGAAGAACAGCCAGAGGAGCACATGGGGGACCAACAGAACTCTCGCAGCCGATGCGAAGAGAGCTTTCAGAGAAAGGATGGATACCTTCACCGTACCATCATTTTTTGAGACCCGTACCCTTCCAACAAGCATTACTCTCCAAATTGGATAAGATATATTCCAAGTTCCCTATTCTTTGGTAGGTCAAAGCCTAATTTCCTACCTTGCTTTCACATGTTTGAATCTGAATCTCCTTTTTTGCTAAATATGTTCCCTAGTTATATCATATCCCAATGTCCTTCCAGTTTCCCAAGTATTTCCCCGTTCTAGTCCTATGTTCTCCATGTTTTGCAGGTGCCCTTTGGTAATTTGAGATATGGAAAATCAATGAACATCACCATGCTATTAATAGGTGATCATCTATTTCTATGGTCCATTTCCCATAGCCATGTTACCCTCCGGTATGTTTTCACAGTTTGCTACTAAATTTTGCCATAGAACCATCATTTTTGTTGCTTAAATTCCATCAAATTCCATCAAATCCAATTAAATCCCATTGAATCCCATTAAATCACCATTAAATCCCATTAAATCCCATTAAATCCCATTAAGCTTCACTAAACCCCTATAGTTTCATATAGTTTCCATTGGGTAAGGTGACAATTTCCTCCAGAGGCCTCGACCTCGGTCTGGTTCTCCCGGTGGCGTCATCGCCAGTGGCGTCGCATGAAATGCCTTGCGGAGTGGCCGGCCAAGCTGGCGCGGAACAGGTGGGGATGGATAGCTGGATCGAAATCGATGGATTTACCCTCTGGTTATGTCAAAATAGCTATTGAAAATGACCATTTATAGTGGATTTTCCCATTAAACATGGTGATTTTCCATAGTTATGTTAGTTTACCAGAGGGTACCCCATGTATCTATACTGGATGCATCTACACTGTTATATACATGATATTATATATATATACATATTGTACATAGGGGTTTGTCTAAGAATAGGCTATGATGATCATTTTCCAGCTGAAAGTTGCAATCCTGGGGTATACCCCATTTTCAGATATAACTGGTGGTATTTTATGTATCGTTGGAATAGGTCGTTTGATTTTTGGCCGCTTGAATTGGGGGTTCAACATCCAAAATCCAACATGAAAACTGGATTACCGTCTGGATCATCCTTTTTCTTTGGATTTGTCAAGCATTTTTTTGTGGTAAAAATCTGGGCAACACATTGACTATCCATCAAATTAGGGATATATATATATACTGTATATATGCCATGAGGGATTTATCCCATTTTCTTGTTTTCTGCACGATCCCCAGAGGGGTTTATCCAACAGCTTCGACGTGAATCCAACATGGCGATGGGGATTTCAGCCTTCAAAAAAATCATGGAAACCAAAATGGGCATGTGTATACATATACAATCATATATATATATACAGTGTATATATATATATGTATGTATGTATATGTATATACACACATATACCTGGTTGGTGATTTGGAACATTTTTTTTCCCATATATTGGGAATAGTAACCCCAACTGACTTTCATATTTTTCAGAGGGGTTGAAACCACCAACCAGAATACGTACATGATATATTCCAAAACATTACGATCATCTTAGTTTTTTAACACAAAAAATCATTTGGCAGGTGGTTTAGCACCCAAGGAAACGGAGAGCCTGCCAACAATGGGGGCATGTATTGGCAAAACTGAGGGTTTGGCCCAGGCCAACTATTTTGTTTTTACTGCCCGCAACCGGGAGTGCCAAGGAGTTTCTGGGTTATTGAACAGTTATTGCCGCATAAAATGCTGGGATGATGTGCTTATCCAGATGGTCACAAGATGTATCAGGTCTCAGAGAATACTTGCCTCAAACCACCTCTGCAGAAGTGGCAATACATATATATATATATATTTATTTATGTATTTATTTATATATATATACATATATATATATTATACATATACAAGTATGTATATATATATATGTATACTAGTTACATTTACATCATAATAATCAGCAATCTAAAACCACCCCAAGAGCAACATTTCAGGCAGATTCGTCCCAGATCTGTTCGCTGTGATCCAGGCCAGTGTGCTTGTCCCTGCTGCTGCTGCTGGGCATCATCCGCTTTTATCCTGGGGACTTTGCGGTCACTGGGCTTGAAAAAAGACATGGGGTTAACACGTTTTCAGAAACCAAGGTGAATTGAGAAGTAAAAAACTGTCATCTGATTTGGGGATACGACTCATCCCACATTGTGATGGTAGAACCTGTCAGATCAGATGGGTTTGGATGTCCAATCACATAAATGCGTAAGGATACCATAAAAATCGGACGGATTTGGAATCGGTGGCGTTTGTCTGAAAATGGGGTGCCCCTCCAACTGTTCATCATCATGTTCCCCTACTGCTTGATTGCCATAAATTGAGGTAAGTCGTCCATTTTCAGACGCACATATCTATGTTTGTTCAGTGAACATAAAGTGCATGTGTGATAGTATCATTGTACCAAATTATACCCAGTAACATTGTTCTAGAGCAGGTGACATTCATTGTGTTCCTATAAAACAATGTCATCTGTTGATATCCGATGTTACTGGGTACAATTTGTTGTTACTGTTGACAATGAATGGAAAATCAACAAAATGACATTCATTGTGTTCCTACTACAATGACAGTTTTTCTTCGGTGCACTTTGTTGGTATCCGATGCCATCACGGCAGGTGCGCTGCAGCGATGCCTTGCTGTGGGATTTTGCTGTGGCCATCACCAGGTTGGGTGATGGTTTATCTGTACGTATATTATACATTATATATATTTTTATAGATGGTTACATATGTACATGTTGTTTGTTTTACTGTGTTGTACTTTATTTAATGCATTTGCTGTTTTTCAATTAATTTAAGAGCTACTATCCAAAGATAAACTGATTGACTATATATGTCAACGTTTTGTTCCATTCATCCAGATACTTTTCGGAATCAACTCTTGAGATTGACTTGGCTCAGGTGTTGATTTCATGTTTTTGCTAAAGGAGAGATACGCTTCCAGTAGCAACCGCTGGAGCCAGGTTCTTCTAGCTGCCTCTGCTGCCAGCTGGCGAATGCGCGAATCGAAGCCCGAAAGATGTGGCAACTGAAACTTGGAGCGGATCAAGGAATTGAATTCCACAACAAAAAGACTGTGGTTTCACAGCAAAAACAAACATGAATTAAACTGGTAAACAAAAGATTTTGTGATTCTCTATTCGCTATGTATAAACATGATACAGCTGAAAAGAAAGCTACAACTTTGTGGGTTTGCGCTCCAAATCTGGTACAGAATCCGTCACGACTGAGATGTTGCTATATTCCTTCAAGCCTCCTAGGTGGATGTATATCCCAGTAGGCTGGTGCCATGAACCCAGTTACATATGGGATAAACATGGATACCCTCTGGTAAACTAACAGTTTGCTATTGAAAATGGCCATAGAAATAGTGGATTTTCCCATCAAAAATGGTGATTTTCCATAGTTATGTAAACGTTTACCAGAGGGTCAACTCCAGAGACTTCCCCTTTGCCGTGCAGAAAATTTTGCCCGTTGCAGTGCGCCCTGGCGACGCCTTGGTTTCCAACGGCGGTGTGAGCGAAAAGCACAAGCGACGTGGCAAGCTTTGAATCCAGAGTGAGAAACGGGTTTCTTTGGTCAAACAGCATTGAGTCCACCATTTTGCCAATTTCGTTAGGATATTTCAATGGAAATAAGACCTCTGTTGTTTCCTACGTCACATGGAGTAAAGGGTCAATTCATGTCATTCCGGATTCACTGCAGAGCGCTTGAACAAATGCCCCTGGCTCCCTTGCAAGAACTGCAGCTCCTGGCAGTATCGGTCAATGGCCTGGAATTAGAAACCATTGACCAAAGGTTGAAACGGCATGTTTCAGCCATCGGTTCAGTTTCTGGAAAGGGGAGCTGCTGTTCTACCCAGAAACTCAGCAAGGAAAACTCTGAAAACCATGAGGAAAATGAAAACATGCAGCAGATACATCGAAGCTGCACGGATGCCTTTGATGAATGTCCCGATTGTGTGAAGTCAAACTCAGATTTTGCAGAAGAGCTTCAATGTATGATCAAAGTGTCCAAACACAAAGTGCAGCAGTATACAACGATCCCCGTTTTGAGTGAGTTCAACCATCATTTTTGATATGTTTGATATAAGTTATAACCCCCAGCTGTTGGGTCTTCCAACTTCGCCCGGTTGGTTCCAGGAAGGCTATGATGCCCAGGCCAATCAGCGCGCAATCCCAGAGATCGCTGGGCTGAAAGGCACTGAAAGGTGGTGATGTTGAGCATGAAAGTTTGGGAAAAGCCACGAAATAAGGATTGAAGTAACTGTTACATAATTGGGGTTAATTAGGGACTAAGGAATAGATATCAATGCATTCGATGTTCACAAGAAAAATATCGATATCCGCAATCGAAACTCCACTGTTTGATGTATCACTGCAGTGGGGGCAGTAAATGCTTGAGGTTTCCCCTGGCCGTGGACACACCCCTGCTACTGCCTTCCACATGCTTTGGATTGTTTCTGATATCTCCAGTGTTTGGTTGGCCATGTCTCATCTCCAAGTTTCGCTTGGTTACACCCATCTCAGTCTCCGTTTGACGCGTTTTCTTAGTCTTTCCCCTAAATGTGGGGAAGACCCACCACGGAGGAAAACCCGCCGTGATTTCCCCATGAATTCCCCATGATTTCCTCACCGCATTCGCGCATCCCAGGTACGGCTACGTGAATGTCACGGACATGAAAGCCATGGGAAAGTTGGCGGAGTTCCTGACCTTGGAACCCGACGTGGTCAGCAAGGAGATGAAGGTCGCGTCATCAGAGGAAACCGAAAAAAAATTCTGTGGTAAAACAGCGAGTTTCACACCAAAATGATTCCAATATCAAAAAACCGACCTAAAGTAGGTGACTTTCAACCACATCGAAGAAGTTTCGTTTTTCTGACAGCAATGGCGCCAGAAGTTCGCAGAAAGGCTCTGGATTTTGATGCCAATAACCTGGTGTCCTTTGCAGAGCCCCTGGGCGCCAGATGGTGGGAGGATACCCCAAGATTGTCACAGCAGTTTTCAGCTTTTCAGCAGCGAAGATCAAAATGTGCTGAGGTTCGTTCTTTGGGCTGACAAGCACACCATTGGAATTCCGCCCGCAGCCTAGGCACAGCCCATGCCCAACTGACAACTGGCGTGTTAAGAATGGTTAGTTGGGTTCCATGGGGCATCCCCGAAATGATTTGGAGGTACCCCCACTTCAGGAAGCCTCCAGTTGGTTGGTTGTGAATCCCCAAATTAACAGCTGGTAATGCTCCCATTAAACCCTACCTCTGCACCTATACCAGCGTCCTGAGGCTTGGAATCGACATTCCAGACAAGCGAGAATGGAGGACTTGCCACAGTTCCAGCTTAAAGGCATCATCCAAAATCCGCTTCTACCTGAGATCCTGAAACTTCTTGGGAAATGGGCAGGAAAGGCATGCCAAGTTGGT